GTAGAGATTTAATTTCTTTAGCCTGAACTGGATTTGAAGGCAACTCCCACACCTGAAAGGCTAATGTTTGACCCACTATGATATTCAGCTCAGCAACATTATTTCTCCTACGACTGCCAGGATTATTATTATCATTCTCAGTTTTGTTAGAAAACAATACTTAACTGTTTCTTAAATGAGTCGAATCTCCTGACCTCTACTGCCTATACTGATGACCCTTTTCTGCTTGTAATCACCTTTCGTTTAATGAAATTATTCCTTTTTTCCTGGCCTAAATTTGTCCTTCACACCCTCAACTCAAGCCCTTTCGTCCTGCTACCTTGCTATCATAGAATCAAAGAATCTTACAGCACAGAAGGAGGCCATTTGGCTTTTTGAAAGAGCTATCCAACTAGTCCCACTACCCTGCTCTAACCCCATAGCACTTCAAATGTTTCCTTGTCATGTACCTAACCAATTCCCTTTTGAAACCTACTATCGAATCTGCTTCCATCACTCTTTTAGGCAGTGCAATCCAGATCGTAACAACTCTCTGGGTAAATTACCTTAAATCTATGACCTCTGGTTACCGACCCACTCACCAGAGGATACAGCCTCGCCCTTTCTAATCTTTTCAAAACCCCTCATCATTTTTTAATGATATATCTGAAATAATTGTTATGAGTTTAGGAGTTTAGTTTCACAATCACAGTTAGCATTCTTCTTTAAGATCCTGACACATTCAGCGATGACTGTCCCCTTTTATGTACTTTGCAAATATGCCAAGTTTCTGCCGTTGGAATGATGTAACATCGCTTCCAGCTGTGCACATTTGGGAACAGTGAGCAGAATTTATATTTCCTATTCTCAATCTCTCTCTCTGGGGCCGGAGAATGCTACACAATTAAAGCAAATGTGCAGAGCTCCATTAACCAGCATTAGATTTTAATGTAATTTAAAAGGCTCCCTTTAAGGTTTCAAGGTGGCCTGAGCGCTTTTAAGGGACTATTTTTGAGCAGAGGCTAAATCAATACCTGCCTGTAATTTCACTGAATGATATCCTGGTAAAATCACCCACTGAAGGCTGAGACCAAGTGATAGGGAATGCCCTACATGCTCTTGGCAGAGCTGAACAGAGGCACCATATCCTTGTTTCACAGTATGCAGGTTGCCGAGACAACATCGGCCAAGGTGGTTACGCCATCTGCCAACTATACAGACCTGCCAGTGTTCTCTGTGTGGTTCAGTCAACAGTTAAATCCCTTAAGAGTCCTCTGGTCACGATATCAGGGCTAGGGATGGGGTTCAGTGGCATTATGGCCGATACGTTACTTTTCTGAACCTGGACCAATGAAAGATCCGTATAAAAGTACACAATTACTACATATTTATAACTTGGGATGTACTCCTGATGTGAAAGGCGCTATATAAATTATACAGTAAATCCTGTGAAGCATTTGAAACATTTCGACAATATACCAAATGCAAGGGTTATTATGTCAGATAAAACATTAAACCAAGGTCCCATCTGCCTGTTATGATTAGAGATCCTATTACACTATGCGAAAAGAGAAGGGAGTTTCTCCTGGTCCCTGGCCAATAAATCCCCCCAAATAAAATTGGTCACTCACTCCATGGCTGTCTGTGGGACATGCCTGTGTGCAATTGGCTGCTGTGTTTTGCCCACAGTCAATTCACTTCACAGTTTATCTTGTGAAGCACTTTTAGATGTTGTGACGACGTGATAAGGTGTGAAATTCAAGGTTTATTATTATGAATATCAAATGTAAGGATTATTATTAAAAATAAATGATGAAAAATAGTATTGTATTCTTAGGTTGTTGTTAATCGTCACTGTTGTTAATCTATTCTTGACGTAATTAACTTGCAGGAAGAATTAACAGTAACAACAACAACTTGCACTTATATAGCGCCCTCCACACAGGGTAGCGTCTCAGAGCGCTTAACAGTGGTGGAGCCTGACTCTGAGCCGGTGGGAGAGGGGAGGTGGCCATTAGCACGGTCAAAGAGGTAACTTTTCAGGCTTCACCAAACACCAAACAGTAAGAGTCACCAAACATACTTTCCTCTTAGTTATAACAGACAGGTCGATACAACAATCCAAGATTGTATCTTGGAAACATTGTCACACAGTTATTTCAAAACCAGATTGATCCCCAATGTGTTTTTATACTCTATCCTGAGCAGTGAATCACTACTATATCTCAGCAATTTGCTACCAAATTCAGGATAAATTTGGTTTAAATCACTTGGATCACACTGGAGCAGCTGAGTTCAGGAGCAGTGGGATTGGAGCCTGTCACGGTATAAACACAGCGGGTAAGAAATGAACTGGGCTCTCTTCCCTGTGGGCTGCTAAACGTTGTCAGGATATTCCTTGAACCATCTGGAACAATGCGACTCAGATGGTTCAATGAATGCTTCAGGATCTAAATGTGGAATTTCTAATGGGATTTCTTAATAAAGATTTTGAATCACGCAAATAGCAACTCCTTCCAGCAGAGGAAATACATGACGCTAATTTCCGGGAACTCCGAATGAGGACAATCTGCTTCCAAAGCATCATTCTGGGAATTTAATTGGGAATCCTTAGTAAGGAATTCTGTTCGACCCTTTGATATCCACATTGACAGAGCAAGGACAGAGCCCACCACCAACAACAAAAAATTATATTTGTATAGCACCTTTCAAGTAAGGAAGACGTCCCACCACCCTGGAACTGTCAAACCTCGCTGTCAGTCGGTCTGAAGGAAGGTGTGTGTCCCTGCCCAGCCCAGAGCCATAAAGGATGTGGAAAGGTTTAGAAACACTGATCCATCCTCAGCAAGTTCCCAATGTTAGTAGTCGACGTAGGAATCTTCTCAGAAACCCTGCATTATTAAGGCGCTGATTGCACAACCAGTTAGGTACACATTGATTTGTAAGTGCTAAGATGGATACATGCAAAACCCAGAAGCAGCACTTTTTGAAAGAGCCCGATGGGATATTGTAAATCAAGCTTTCTACTTCACATTACTCTACCCCTAGGAGCAAAATGAGTTCGCTCCCGGCAGTATAAACGCAGCATTAGTCTTTAATTCTCTGCATATGTAATGAATGAGCAACCTTGATAATCAGCTGGAGTGCTGCCACATTTTTTGACAAACGAATACTGCTCCTCATTATTCAGAAACCCATTTATCCGTGCGGAAATGCCTGCTTGTGACGGACTCCTTCACATGTTACAATTTATCAAATCAAAAAAAGATTCTTCGTTCTCCACTGGCATTCGTCTTGAAAGATTATGTCCTTCGTTATGTCGAGCTCATCTTTCTCTCAGAGCTATGAACAAAAACAAAGCTGCTGCTCACAGGAATTTTAAAAATTATCTAAAACCAGTATTAAAACCTTCAATTTTTACAATAAAAACAAAAAGCAGACCTTACTCATGACACGTGTAAATCAGATTTGACTTCCTTACTTAATGGATATCCCTCTCAGTTCTGAGGGGTTGTGTGTGCTGCATTCATTATTATTTTATTCAGTTTTTATAAAACTGAAGCAGCTCTATTGTCATTAAAATAAATGGTTAATTGCAATATTCCCCCAATTTTTTATTCTCTTCAATAACCCATTCCCTCACCACCACATAGTCAATACCAAAAAAAAGTAATACTAGAATCAAAGAGTTGCCTATGAAAGTGAAAGCCATCAGATGCCGAAATAGTTTGAATTCCACGGTTAACAATAATCCTTACCCTTCATGTAGGACCTTTTTATGTCGAGAGCCAGATGTTTTATTCCCAAAGGCCTTCCCTTTCACTATGCCCACCCCCGGAGAGGTTTTTCCCATCTGGCTTCAAATCTTTGAATTTAGAGTTGTATTTAGCATGCTGGGTATCTGGAGTTAAAAGAACCCTCAATACATAGAGAAAAAGAGCCTGCAAATTGACAACTAACAAGGCACATTGAAATTTCATGTTTTCTGATTTCAAAGATAGCATTGGGCTTCCTAGTAGGTGAAGCACAGTCAATACAATGCAAAATGCAAGGCAATGAGGCTTACACTGGATCTTGAAATAACATCTTGGTTCCTGTGATGTCTAAATCAGTAGATCTCTATCAGCAGGCCCTGGGATGCTCACCTCCAGATCTTTTTCATCCATTTCTGAATCTGGTTTGCACTGTAGATTCTAGAGGGATCTATTTAGGTTCTATTTCCCCCCTGCTCGGGTCATGACCCAACTGTGCAGCGCCTTGGGACGTCCTCCTGACGTGAAAGGCGCTTTATAAATGGAATCTTGTTGTTGTTGTTGTTAGTTGTCATATCACTGGTATTGTGAAATATAAGTTTGTAGAGCCAATGCCACTTCTAATTCCTCTCTGGCTGAGCAGTCCACACTAGCCTTGCATAAGTGCTAGACAGATCATGCTTCCACACCCCCACCCCTCATTCCCTACTCCTATTCTCAGATGTGAGGTCAGATATCTGGAACTTATTCCAGCATTGAATTTTTATAGGTTAAGTATTGGTGTCAATGTAATGTCCATGCTAGTACAAGGATATACTCCTACAGATGCTATTTTATTGTCATGGGGGAGTGGTAGAGTAGATGTTTTGGAAGGATGAGATCGAATGGGCCAAAGAGCCTTCTTCATCCAAACCAATCTTGTGATGACTAGTCCATCCCAATGTTTTGGTGTTAAGATGTGTAAGTGAGGTGCTTTTCAAAAGTAACACTTGAGATACATTTTTCCAGATCTTGCTGCACGGGATCCTGACAATGCAATCCTATGATTAAATCACTGCCATAAGACTGGACTTTTCACCATTTCAAACATATCTTTAGAAAAAACGATGGAATGAAAAAAGACCAGAAGAGCATCTTGCCTGCAAACTGTTAGGATGTGCACTCCAACAATTTTCTGAGTTGCAAACAATAATTCTTTCCCAGTCTGTTATAATGTACATACAGAATTTCCATTTCTTTATATAAATAAATAGACTGTTACACCCAGACTTTTTTTCACATCAGTTTTATTATCAGATCTGTAACCAAACTGTATTAATTTTTATATAATAAACACAAGACTGGATTGGCCCTAATTTATCCAAAACAATTTTACACCAAATGCTTGATTATCCAATTGCATACCTAATCTCGTAACTCTGCGCTCACGGTACAAGTTACCTGTGCATTCTCAAAGTTGCTCATAAATTCTGCAAGGTCTAGTAATAAATTACAAGTGGCTGACCCTGCTTATTGGTGGTTCCTATTCACAATTAAGCCATAATTAGTTCTACCAAGCAACACTTTAGACACTGGTTTAGCATGAGATTTGCACAATGTTCAAATAAACCCAAAAAAATCCACTGACATATTTATCCATTAACAGCTGACACCAGCTTCACATTATTGTCTGCTTATCAACATTAGAAATAAAAATGTCACAGTTGACAATAGAAAACTTTGAAACATTACAGGTTGAAATTGTGTACATTAAAGACAGTCACGTAGGCACTTGAGAAAGGAAAATTACCACAAAGAGATAAGGCACAAGATCCAACAAAGACTAAACACAACGTCTTTGGAAGAGGGACACAATTAGCATCACTGTAAGATTTCAAATACATTGATTTCAACATAGCCAGATACGCAAATTGCACCATTCATCACTGTAATTCCATGTCAGCTCCACCACGATTACATCGAGTTCACGTCTATGTTTATTGACAACTATTTAGGCAATTCCCTGCTTAATCATTACACACATTAGTGGTGTAGTCTCCCCCCTTTAAATTAATTGAATAAAACAGTGATGTGCTGCTGCATTGTGTCTGGTCACCTGCTCAGCTCCTGATATTTAACATGAAGTTGAATTAACACAGTTCAATTTCCCTAAGTTATTAAACATTTAACATCACAAAAGATAAAACTGCAAAAACGGCATCTTCAGTCAGCAAACTGGTTGCAAATGCATTATCAGAAACGTTAGGATTTTAGTCCAGAAATATAATGTTTAGAGTAAGTGCATATTGGTAAAATCAAGTTTTAACTTCACTTGGGTTTGTACATTGGAAAAATGCATAAGGGAGAAAAAGGACAGAGCAAAGACTTTCCGAATCATTAACTGAGAGGATTACATCAAATCCGGATTAAATGGTTCAAATTTTCCCTGGTGGGGACTATATGGTCCATTTGAGTAGCAATTATTATACCTGTAGTCTATTGGGGTTCTTGACTTGGGACATCTGGAATAAGTTTAGTGGCCCTGGTTAGTCAAACTAGACAAAAGCCACACCATCACACCTTTTGATTTTTAAAAATATATCTGTAGTTTGTATAACTACTTTAATCAAACACTTGCTTTTAACATAAATTCTGAATTAGGACATTGGCTTTTTACAAAAAAGAATATATTATTCATGAAACAAAGACACCTGTCGTGAACAGAGAGGCAACTTAGCTGCCTTATGCTTACAGACTTTTATAATGCTCAAGAAAGCTGTGGATCATATCCCCAGCTGTCGTACCATATATACTTTATAGTCTTTCAACAACAACAAATTCCACATGTATAGAGCATTTCACTTCGAGAGGACAGTCAGGGATTTGGATCACTAAACTTATCTAGCATAACTTGTCATGTACTTGTTTACAACGCTATCCCTTTGTGTCTCAATCTGTCTCTGATGGGTCTCAAAGTCATTAAATAACATTAAGGATCTAAAATTTTAGAAAGGCGTCACTGTCTAAAATAGGCTGATAACAACGAGGAGATTCATGAGATTTTAGATTGTATTTCCTATACTGGACACAACTATTTATTAAATAAGGTTCAGCTACCTGTAATTAGAGACAAAAATGTAATCATAAATGCAACTTCTTATTTAACATGATTAATATTAAATGCAAGCATTAAGGTGCAACTATAAGCAAATTATAATCATAAGTTTAAGGGATCTAATGATAATGTGATGAGAAAGTAGATGCAGAATAAAAAACATCAAGTGCCAGGTGATTCTCAATAGATGCAAACCCCTTTTTTATTATTATAAATGCTAAATTAATGTTCTCTAATAGATCAGAGGAATTTTAATGGAAAACTTACAGGATTCGCAGTGACTGTCTATCTTTTGTCATGTGAAACCTAAACGATCATGCGGATCAACGGGATGGAATTTCTTTTCAGATTACTGAATCGGCAGGTGACATGAATGTGATATCGTGCATTAAGGAAAAGGTAGCACGTTTCATTGTGGAAGTCTTTACAGCTCAGTTCTTTCCCAGGAGTCCCTTTTTATATGCAAACAGACCTGCAGCCGCTCCAGAGGTGAGGACTGTAGACCACCCGACAAATTTAAGACATGTTGACACTGAAGGCAAGTTTCTCTCCCAGAAAGTCATTTTGAATGGAATTGCAGGGACATCCTGAAAGAAATAATTGAGCCTAGGTTAGGGTCTTGTTCAATTAAAATATACAATGCCTCAGTATTTTAAAGACCATACAGATATGATGACATCTGAAATAAGTTCTCTTTGAATTCATTAATCTGCCCCTCTACCATATGCTGTCATAGAGATGGGATCAGTCTATAGAGAGGTGAGCAATTCCACATGTTATTTTCAGTTTCATCCGTGACTTGTCCTTGCAATTTTCTTGGCCAATTTTCATGCTTCTTGTTTCCTGCTACAGTTTGATGGGGGGGGGGGGGGGGGGGGGAGGAGATGGGGAAGGGTCAGGTGTCAGGTGAGGTATTTTTCACCATGAAATAGATGTTATTCACTCTATTCCAGATGTTGGCAGTGAAATAACAAAAGGGTTTAGTTTCCCCATTTTGCACAAAGCAGATACATTTGCAAAACGATAATGGTCATAACATGGATCTGCTCCCTCCAGCCCTCCCCCACCCCTTAATTTCCATTCCACCACAACTCTGGTGCTGAAACACAGTTGCTTCATTAGCATTTGAAAGGAAAGCCACCTTATTAAAATCTACCCTGAATATCTGAGACAGCATTAAGCCACATCACTTTAATAACTAGGTTATTAAGTGGACAATGCTTTATCCAAACATAGTCAGAATTGCAATCAACCTCCCAGATAAGTGGTGCTTCATGTAGACTAGAATTGTCTAGTCTAGTGTATGCAGAACAAACTCAGTGCTGTTGGCTTCTGTGATATGTTCGAAATCACTTCCCACATCAAAAAAATGAAACACAAGAACATTTTAAAAATACACTTGATGCTGTTGCATCAAATTTTGGTTTGGACTCCAACGGAAATGAAATTACACAGAAACAAAAGATCCTTAAACTTGAGAACTTTCTTTTTAAAAAATTAAATAGAATAGAATATGAGAGAGGGGATAAAAGAAAAAGAAAAACAATCGGATTCAGAAAGGGCGTCAATGGGAAAATCACAGATTATCACACGTGACACACCTTATGTATCGAGGCATTTCTTTCCAGTGCTCACACCAATTGCACCAACCAACATTTTCCCACTCAAGCCCTTTCTTTCATGCTATTATAATGCAGCAGAGAGATTCCTCTCGCTCTGAGTGCAGGACATAAAAAATTAATCATGTGATTTGGGGGTGAAACACTGAGTATTTAGGCAGTGAGGTGACAGGCAAAAGAAATGCTGGTTAAATATGATATTTCATGGGAGGGAGGGAGGGAGTGGGCTGGGCTTCCAAATGGGTGCTTGCTACATGATCAGTTTGATAATTTTAAACCATGTGACTGGTAAACAGGTGAGCAAGCGTACAAATCTATGTATAAGGAAGACAGCACTGAAAAGCAGCTTTGCATCAAATGGTCTAACAACCACTTTCTTTAACATTAAGGGCCAGAAGGCGTACAATTAATCATTTTAGAAATGCATGGAACAATATATTTAACAGGAGCACCCAGAGGTCTTTATTGACCAATATAAAGAGTGACAGGTTAACCCCAATGCCAGCAATGCCAGTTTGCTTCCAGCAGGCAATAAATGAGATCGCAGACAGGACACAGTGTGAAGCATCAGGAAATAATGATCAATCAGGAACTCACCACAGACGCTGGCTCGTCTTGCCAGATCTCACATTCTGAAATAGTCCCCATTTTGTGCAGAATCTGGAAGAAAAATGCAGAATTCTCTGTCAGAATAAACCCTAGTAATAGGTCTGGATGCAGTGACAGAGGCTGGATGAAAGCTACAAGTGGGTTGACATTTACTGAGTGACTCCTGTTATCAAAGACTACTAAAAGTGACAATAATGCCAATTCACATGAGCATGGCTACATTCTAATGTGGGGAGTTAGCAGTAACTCTCCACCTTTCCGCATATAGGTTCTAAAGCGTAAACTCCTTCTGTGAATGATTAGCAGCTTAAGTGAAAATATGGCTGTTTGTGGGGCATTGCTATGCACCAATTGGCTATCCCATTCGCTTGTCAAGTACACAGTCACTTTACATCAAATCCTGTGAAATGCTTTAAGACATCCTTCTGATATGAAAGGCGCTGCGCTAAATGTAAGGAATATTATTATTACAGTTTGTACATAATTTTTATGACAGCGTAAAGTCAAGTGCTAGTGTTAATCTTCCCAAGATTGTATATTTTGCAGGTGATCAGTATAAGTGCAAAAAACGTGCGTCAGCTGTCAGAATGGTGCAAGACCCTCCCCTTCTAAAGGACAACAAAAACAACAAATGACCCTTGTATAGCGTCCTTCACGTCGGAAAGACCTCCCAGGATGTTGGACAATCAGGAGTTTTGGTTCCGAGCTGGGAGTTGGGGTCAGAAGGGGAGGGCAAGGGCTGGTGGGTGTGGGAGGGTGGCCGAAGGCACGATCGAAGAGGAAGGTCTTCAGATGGGAATTGAACGAGGCAAGAGAGGGGGTGAGGCAGAGGGATTGCGGGATAGAGTTCCAGAGTGTGGGGGCAGAGATGCTGAATGCCCGACTGCCACTGGTGGGGCGGGAAACACGGGGGACCTGAAGCAGCCGGTGTCTGCCAATCGGAGGGAGCGGATAGGTTCATATGGGGTCAGAGAGCTAGGGCAGGAGCAAGACCATGGAGAGCCTTGAAGGTAAGACTAAGTGTTTTGTACTCAATTCTCTGAGGAATGGGGAGCCAGTGAAGCTGGGCAAGAACAGGGGTGATAGGTTCCCGGAGCCTGGTGCGGGAGAGGACACGAACTGTGGAGTTCTGAATAATCTGCAGCTTGTGGAGGGAAGAGTTGGGAAGTCCAGTGAGCAGGCAGTTGGTGTGGTCAAACCAGGACATAATGAAAGCCTGGATCAGAGTCTCGGCGGCCTGCGGTGGCAGAGGCGGGCAATGTTGCGGAGGTGTGGAAAGGCAGAACGGACAAATGTTTGACCTGTAGCCAATGTTGCCCTACAACAGCAGAGCTGAGATCAGCATGATCCAGCGGGTGGACACACACTCTGCGCCATGGCTCGCTCCTGCTCAGCGACACATGCTAGAAATCTGAAGCCCTGCACTGCTACGTTTCACACACTGGCACTTTATTGGCGCAAAACATTTCTAGTGTTTAGAGTCAGCACAATATTGGCATTAACTCAGATAATAAAACAGTTTTTCATTAAAAAAAAATTAAAAAACACTTTTTGGACACTCAGTTGTTTTTATGACCATTCCTACAATATGATCCACTTTGTTCATGTTTTCTTCTCCCTAAGCCTAGTCATATCCCTCTGGGTGGGCAGCTGTTCCTGCTTCACATTGGGCAGAGCTACACTGCTCTCCCATTGCTGCTATTTCCACTCCATGGGGTTTTATGACATTAAAAGTGATTTATGAACAGGCATAAGGACTTGCATGAAGGCAGTGAGTGTGTCTATTTTATGTGGAGTGTTCAAATGATTTAAAAGCTAAACCCCGCTACACATTTACTTAGATCCTCACATTTCAGTGGCAGAGCCATCATTCCATTTAGAGTTTCACTGGCCTTCAAACATCGCACTATGGATTTCAATCATACAGCATTATCAAGAACACACTTGGATTGCTAAACATCTGTAAGTTAGGCCAATAGATATGTCACTTGTTTACGTTTTAAAAATCTCCTAATGGCAACACATAGACAAGTTCCAGATTTATTAAAACTCAACAAATTAGATCTCACATATCTAAATATTTCTTAACAGAAAACAATGTTCAAATATTGCCTTTTTCAACTCCTTTTTAGAGTGCTCAAATCATTCAAAAAGTAATGCCATACACTTTGAAGCGCCTTGAGATGTCTCAAAGACATGATAAGGCACTATATCAAATGCAATCATTATTCTTATTTATTTGGCATGCAGTTTCGCAACAAAGCTCATACTCGATTTAGAATTTCCCTGCATGACAACTACACAATGGTGCAAAATATGTGCAAGTTGTTGTTGCTGCTGCAATTCTTCTTCTTGCTTGCCATCATTTGTGCCCTGTAGGTCTACATTCCCTGGGATCGAGGTTGTGCTAACTTTGTGTAAACTGTTATGTGTAAAAGGGGTCACGGGTACCCTTAACTATGAGTAATGAGACATGGCACAAACTATGACACATTAAACTAATAAGCAATGATAAGGTTAAAGAATTAGGTGTGATCTTCTTTGATTACTAACTACATAATTAAGGTACCCATGATTCCCTCAGTACATATGTGATTGCACACAGTTAACACAACCCGCAAACTAGACCCCACAAAATGTAAATGGTTTAGAAATGAGTTGAAAAAAAACTAACCAGAGCAAATAGCTTAAAATCATCTTAAAAAGAGTATTTGCCACTTCAAGAAAGGGCAATGAAAAGAAAATACAAGCAATCTTTTTAATGTTATCGGAAGGAAGGAATTGATCACGTCTAAATATGATAATTGTTAAGAATGATGCATATTTCATGTGAACGCTATAAGAGATGCTATCGAGTTTCTTTTTTCCAGTTTGACAATGGGAATTGATTTGCTGCAACCTTGTTCATCTTCATGTTAATCATTAACCAAACCTGAACAGGTCAAATTGCCTGCATCACAGGATTTTGTCACAAATTGCAGTGGTCAGTGGAGTTAAACGGGTTGTATATTAGAAAAGGGGAGCTTGTGCAACATCAAATTAATTCTTTCATCGAAAAGGTTAACTCGCAGTGAACTGTTCCCATAGACTCACTTGATAGTGGAGCACTGGCTGCATTCCCCAGCCTAGAGCAGCAGTGAGGTGGAAAATCTCCTTCCCTCTCAGCTGAAGCAATGACACAGAAATAACCTGGTCAATGGACTTCACCAGCAGTCAAAATCTCTGATGGTGGCAGGAGACTGTCACAGGAATGGAGGAATCATGGTACTAGAGGTTTGTTGACAGTCACAAAATCAAACCACATAAAATCATAAAGAGAGAATATAATTTAACCAGTGATCTGCAGGCTTGAGACTAACAGGTTTTGTGGGAAGTTATGACTGAGTAGTTAATCCGTACAAATCAAGTTAAAATCATATAAACTAATAATAATCCTTGTAATTGATATAGAGCCTTTCACGTCAGGAAAAAGTCTCAAAGCGCTTCACAGGACCTACTGTAAAGTGAAGCGAATGAATAAATGACTAGTTTTATCTGAGGAATTGCTGGCTAGGATATCGGGAGAAACTCCCTTCTTTTCAAACAGTGCCATAGGATCTGTGACATCCACTTGAGCAGGCAGACAAGGCCTCATCTTTATTGTCTCATCCGAAGGACAGCACCTCCAACAATTCAGTACACCTTCAGCATCATATCGGCCTAGATTATATGACATTAATGTTCTGACTTGGAGCATAAACCCACAACCTTGTGACTCAGAGGCGATAGTGCTGCCAACTGAGCCAGGTTAATCACTGATATCCTGATTGCAAAGTTGACCTGTGTGAATCCCATATCTTGAATGTACAATAATATTCCTGGAGTTTATTGCCTCCGGTAGTGATGACGAGAGGAAATCTAGATTAATATTCCTCCTTCCCAATCTCGGTTAACATGGGGGTGAGTGCTCTGTGCGTTTGCAACTAAACATGTCCAAAGCTCTGCTAATTAGCATTAATTTTTAATCCTATCAATACTTAGGTTTGATAATGTTACAAACTGCTCCTTGACTGTTCTTGAGCTGTCCATGGGGTGGTCAAATACTTTGTTTTTGAGTGGAGGCCAATTTGATTTACATTTATACCAGAGCTAATCAATATTCTGGGATGGGCTCTGGTGCCAATCATTTCAAGATCGAATGTCTCACGGCAGATGTATACTGAATTTCACGGGGATTCACTGGGCTTGAGTGAAGGGAATTTGTTAAACTGGCTTTCAGATAATGGGCATTTTGTCCCTTGTGGGCTAAAACACAGCTCATGTTGCTCTGCATTCTGGTTAACAATCCCACAGATTCAATTAGTCATTCATTTCAATGTTGTTTGTGGGAACGCTGCTATGCGCAAACTGGTTGTCATGTTTGCCTGCAAATACACAGTCACTACATTTCATAGTAAAATCCCACTTTGAGGCAGCTTAACAAAGTGGTAAGGTGGAATATCAAATACAAGGATTATTACTATTATCCTGCTATGAGACGATTATAAAGTCTGTTACTCTGCTAGTGTGCTTGGGTGATCATCATGTGATAGGAAGCAACAACACTACACCGTTTCCCCCACTGACTCTAGCTGCACTGTCTACATGTCTTTCCAACTGTGGAAAGGTAGAAAAATTAAATTCATGCTTCACATCTTGGAAACAACTCTTGGTACTTGAATTTGCACATAAGCAGTTATGTCCTTGTTGGTGATATTGCTGCAAATTTCACCTCAGAGCAAACAGTGCAGAATACTAGCCCCAGAACCTCTTTATTTGCCTGTACAGGACCTGAGGTAACCCTGTTCAGAAATCTGTCATTCATACCAATTATGTCCATTGTAGACTTTGAACGACTCGCATTGATTGATTCAGGTTCAGCTTTGGATTTACAAAGGTACAATTAAGATGAGGCCTCCTGATACAATAACAACAAATTACATTTGTATTGCATCTTTTATATCGGGAGGACATCCCAAGCGCTGGACAGTCAGGGATTTGGACTCGAGCAGGGGGTTGGGATCAGAGGGGGT